AAACAAGCCAATCACAGAAGAAGAACGTTGGTCTTTTTGTATAATGCATCATGGTGAATTGAATATTGTTCCACATGGATTATCAAAAGGATATCCTGAATATATCGATTTTAATGTACTTCCATCACGCATAATCAAATTTGAAAAAGATCTCATTGAAATTATTAACGGAAATATTTCAAGTTACTATTGGGATATTGCATCTTCAATATATAAAGAAGTCGGATATAATAAAGCCAAGGCGCCAATGATGCTCATGAATCGATTTGAAGTTTTTCAGGTTGGTAATTATCTGTTTGAATATAAATTTTGTTTATATTTTATTAATTAGCTTTACTAATTTACAGCCAGGTTATTATGGGTTTAATGGGTTATATACTATTGTTAATACTTTAATAGAATTGTTTGTTAACTCTAATAATCTCACAAAAGACAAAACGTACCCATTAGACCCTATGGATTTTATTTACGAAGTTCTAGTACCAGAAGTAACATTACGTCTGATTCAAGAGGACCGTAATAATAGTATAACACTTGAAGATGCGAAAGAAATTTTAAATGATAGTATTGAATTTGGAGTTTATATGCATAGCAATGAAATAGATGATTGATTAATACTATTGTCTTTTAGTTGTAATAAAGACAAATTTTGAGAAAATAAGGATTAAATTTATGACATATGAATGTTGGCAATTCTTTGTTTTAAATGGCTTAATAAAAATATACAAGAAACAGTAAATAGTAAGGAAACAAAAATAACGATTAATAAGTTTAGTAATTTGAAATTATTTAGTGAATAAAGTCTCCGATATGTACAGTATGTCGAATCTATGCATGTGACCATGTGATACTATCGAATAATCAAAAATGATACATTTTTTTTCAATAATCAAAAACGATAGAATTTTTTTTTCAATAATCAAAAATGATACATTTATTTTTTCAATAATCAAAAACGATACAACAGTTTGTACAACTAACTTCTATAATCAAAAAGCATCACCTCCTTAATCAAAAACGATATATTTGCATTATATTAAGATATATTTATTTGTTTACTACTGTACCGGTATATCTATTATTATTTTTATATTATCGCCGTTTTCGATCATTGATTAAATTTCGTAATAATAATAAATAATAACTCCCCGATTACAAAAATAAAATCACGTTTTACTATAATACTATGCCACCATCGTACAAACTTTATTAATTTTTTATTTTTGTTATTTACATATTATAAAAATTTTGAATTTATTATATTTTATATCCAAATATATGGATTAATTTCTGTATATTAAAATTAATTTGAACTTTAATATCACTTATAATTTTAAATAATAAGCTTTACAAGAAAAAAATAGGATCGGGTGCTTGTTTTCGTAATTTCGTAAGTATACGATATCAAATATTCCGAGTTGACGTAATAAGTATGATAATTAATTTAGTTATGCAGCACAGAATTACAAATAAAAACACAAAAAGCAAAGACCTTATCATTTACTAAATAAATTTGTCATGGCACTCCGGCTCAGCTCACAGTATTTAAGTACTGTAGGAAATTTGATACTGTATTGGATCTAAATATTTATTCGTATGATCATGAGGTAATCCTCTTTGCTTAAAAGATTATTTGATTATTTCGCAATTTATTAATTTCTTACATTAAATGAGTAAGTACGTACAGTAAGTTTTAAATTTCAAATATCAACAATAATAATTAAATATTATACAAGTATACATTTTTATATTACTGTTCTAACTTTATATATCATTCATCATCTTCTTCGGAATTTTCTTCTTCAGCTTCTTCAAGCCATTTGACAAAAGGTGCAATCTAAAAATAGAAGTTGTTAATAAAAATAAAAAGTCTTATAATGCTAATATTAATAGTGTTGAATCGAAATATACCACATCATGTATTTTCGAATAAATTTCTGGTTTTCCCACTCCTCCCTTAGAACGTTCATCATAATACCATTCTAAAATTGCGTCTTCTTCTATTACATCTATTTCGTACAATGTTCGAAGTGACGGTGCAAATATTTTGCTATTTATATCCGTCTTTGCACAATATTTCTATAAAAGATATTAAATAGATATGAATCAGTTAAGGCTTATATGATAAATGAATAAGGAAAAAAGACTATTTACTTGTAATGTAAATAAAGCATCAGTTTGATCATCCTTAGAATGGACTAATTTTCCAATGAGCGGTCCCCAGCGAGTCAATACCTGATTGTTATAATATTAATATATTATAATAATAATAAAATGACATTAGCTAGAATAATTCTACCTACGTCTTTAGTGCTAGCCAATAATTTATCAGTATTAATTTGATTCAATATTGATGGTATTACTACAATTCGAGTATCACGAAATGAAGTATTTGAAGCCATACGCAAAGTATTCAGTTCTAAAGATGCTATTTCTATAGTATGACCTTCCGAAAATGCACGTTCGACCGTTTGTGCAACTTCCTTCGAGAAAATTTCTAAATTAGATGGTTCGTCAGAATCACTTTCCTCATCGGAAGATCCTTCACTTATTACAGATGCTGTCGACTCGTCGTCAGTAAATGATAAGTTGGACAAATCATATGCTAAAATATTTGACATAATGTTAATTTGAATTTACTAATATCGTAAGGGGATGAACTAATTGATACTTTACCGAGAGTTGTAACTTTTATATTTTTTGCTTCATCATCATCTTCTACATCGGACGTTTCATCGTTCCATATATGACCTTTTCCATTTTCTCCAATTAATTTAATATCATAAGCTGAAATTCAACAATATATTAATAATTATTTATAACAAATCCAATTTAAACTTTACTTACAATCATCTTTCTGATTATCCTTCACTAATTTTATATTTTGAGCGTGTAAAAGTTGGTTTATCTCTTTATCTTCTTTATCTTTCGTATCATAATCATCATAATCTAAATTTTGTTTATGCCTGGTCAATTTGGTGTACGAAGGCAGAGTAATCTTAGGTCCAATAATTACATTGTAAGAGAGTAAACATCCCTTGTTGACAATTACATTTTCTTCTAATACAACGTTATTCGCTAAAATCGACCGCGATATTGAGCAATTTGCGTTTATGGTTACATTATCCCAGATGTATGCTCCATCTATTTTAACATTCGGACCTAATAAGGAAAAATATCAAATGATTACTTAAATTCTCGCAAAAAAAAGATAGAATAAAGTATTAAATTACCTATATTAACTCTTCGTCCAATTACAGAGTTAGTTATCTTTACATTTTCTGCAATTTCAGTACCGGAACCAATTATAACCTTTTCGCCTAAAACGCAAGATCTAAAGCAAATAGTTATCAATTCGAATAGGGGATGTGTGATTCATTTAATATTGATATTAACCTTGAAAGCGATACATTTTGTTCTTTATAAATTTGTCCACGCATATATTCATAGCTATCTCCCTCTTGTAAATTACTATCAGGAACAATAGGATAGGTCCAGCGGGATAAAACATCTTTACTAGATTTTTTTTTTTAAGGAAAATTTTTTTTTTTTTAATAAAAAATTCAAGTTCTCACAAATCATATGATTATATTTGTTTATTACCTAATAGCATCGTATGTTTGTAAATCACGAACTCTTGCAGCATATGCGTCCTTTACGATATGACAATATATTGTCTTACCCAAAAGATCTGATGTCAAAATACCGTAAACGAAATCCTTCCGGATATCTTGATAATCAAAATTTTCGGTAAATAATGCTAGGACCTATAATGAATAAATAAACACTCGATAATTATCCTTATCTCCTTGGAAAGTTTAAAGCAAATTACAATGACTAACTGTTCTTACCTCGATGGAACAAATATCAATTTGACAATCGACAAAATCATTACGTATTTGAACGTTAGAATGTTTTTCGAATACCTCCATATCCATAATCATATTCCTTTTGTGTGGGTATAATTCCGCAGATTCATAATGAACACATTCTTGGGTTTTCCCATCAAGAACAAAAATTGACGATTCTCCTAAGGATCTTTATAAAATAATATATCAAATTAAAATAAAATATTTGACTCACAATAAAGTAGACTCACCTAGTTCTATGAAAAGGACTGGCTTCTTTCACAACCTAATTCAAAGTCAGTCATAGGAAATACGACAATTAGTTTAATTCAGTCTAAAATATCTCTTACTATATTTCGGAAACATTAATTACCATTGTCATGATTAGATTTTTGTCAATATTTTTTCGAGTTCTTCATAATAAAACATGTTTAACATTTAATTCAATGTAAGTAAAAAATATTACCAAGGCCAAATATATCTAACATTGCAGAAAATCTATTTATCCCACCTATGTGCATCTAAAATTTTGTCTAAATGAATGTTTGATACAACATCACCGCTAATAAGAATAAAATCTGAACTAATCAACTGTTTTGCGTCTAATTCTCTTAAAACATCTCCAATTGAACGTGCTTCGGGCGTAACAATGGGAATTATTTTAAATGGTGAATGTGATCGATTCCATTTTGATGTGCTAAGATAAAAAGAATGATTAAATCAACGTAAAATTCGGCCACATCTTATAAACGTTATCTATAATAATATGTATATTCACCTTATATAATTCTTAATTTTTTCTGAATGTGCTCTACAAAGAATATAAACCTCTTGTACACCGGCAACAGCAAGACATTCTAATGTATATTCAATTAAAGGTGTGTTGCAAAGAGGTAATAAACACTACAGATATAATAATTCGTTAACCAAATAACTAACCGCAAATAAAAATTCTAAAAAAATAATAATAAACACCATACTCGCGGCATATCAAGAGTTATCGGACGAAAGCGCTCGTTAAAGCTGTCGGCTAGAACTACAGCTTGTAAAGCTGTTTCAGCTTCAATATTTTTCCCCGTACTTTTGGTAGTTGGCGCCATTCTAAATATAAAATCTCACTGACTCTATATTATTAATCAAAGTGAAGAATTAATTCCATTTATCTTTCTTATTTCAGTGCCAAAATAACATCAAAAATAGTTATGATAAAAAAAAAAAAATTGATAATGCGCCACGGACGTACTATGAAGATCGGAAGATCAGATCTATTTTTGTACAGTTACAATATACGAATTCGTATGTTCAAAAAAAATTTTTAATTTACTCGGGCAATTTTGGAGATATAAAATTGAGGATACAAATGAAAGATTTATGAACAATACACAAGAATGAATTATATCTATCAATAATTTTATCTATTAGTCTTTATGCTTAAACAAGAAGAAAATTTAGTAACTTTTTGTGTGCACCACGCTTGGCCCGTGATCATTGTAATCAACTTTGTTAATAAACCCTTTAGGATCAGGAAATGAAAGCTTAAATGCAAATAAAATATTATGTAAATTAGAGCAATTTAATAAGTCGAATGATAGAATAAAGAGTTAACAAGATACCTTGGCTGTTATAGAGGCGCCCAAAAACCCAGCCAAATCATTTCTATCTTTAAGATTTGTAAAATATTCTGGAATTTTTAAGAATTTTGCTTCTTTTACCTGATATTCTCCACTATTATCAGAAAATGTAAGATATGGTGCTAAGTCGGTTTTAATACGTTCTTTTAAACCTTTTATTTAAAAGATAATAATGATTTTAATACAGTGAAAAAGATTTAAAAATAACCCTTTGCTAACCTTTCATGATGGATGATCCCCCGGTAAGCACAACATTCTCCCATAGTAAGTTACGCTTGTCTGGTTCACAGCTAGATATGGTCAAGTAAATCGCTTCTGTTAATGACAAAACTCCTTCCTTGTTAACCAACATTGGGTCAAAGATAGGCTCTGTAACACGAAAACGTTCCGGACCAACTGTGAACTAATAACCATTAAAAAAGGTTAATTTCTCATGATTCACTCGCAAAAGATTTCTTGCGCCCAGAAATGTTGAAATGTTTAACGAACTTTTCTCCCTTGATATTCAACTTCCATCCTCGCAGGTTTATCTTCCAAGTTGTTAGCATCTAACAAAACTTCGCAAATATCTGCTGATTCTTTAAGTGCTCTTGCAATATCTATATCAGGTGTATCTCCATATTCTTCAATAAATTGAGAGTCTGATAAAAGTAACGAATGAAAATATTCATCAAAATCTTGGCCGCCAATCGGAATAGTTTGTATTGCATGATGTTGAATTGAACATTCTAATATTGGAGTTATTTCTAAATTGAAAATCAAATGTTAATAAAAGCAATTAACAAAAGATCACAATGAATTATCGTACCTGTTTTCCCATAACCGATGTCAACAACCAAACCATTAAGGCTGCCACATCCGTACAGTGCCATTAATGCTTGATTAGCTATGTAAAGTCCAGGAGAATTAAATGTTTCAAAAAATATTCGTGCAATTTGTTCATATTGCACTTTAGTCCAAGTACTTGGAACTGTAACAATTACCGGGCATTCATTACGCGATCTCTTGATATTAAATTCCTTTAAAAGAATATGTCGCCTGTTCATAAATGAGTCATGTAAGCATTATGACAAAACCGCTAAAAAAAATCGTTATAATAATCTAAACGTACCATAATGCTTCTAATTCATCCAAATTTTCCATATTTCCACGTTTTATCGGAAAAGAAGTCACGATATTGCCTTTATATTGTTCCTTGAATTCTTTTAATTGCAAACCACAAATATATCTTGGTTCTTTAGAATTCTTGGTTGATGTCGCTTTTTCTGGCGAATTTGATGTTGATTGCTCAGGATTCTCCGTACCTCCCTGTAACATCTCGGAATCATGCTTTTCAACTTCCGTTTCGGGTATTTTTCCGACTTCAGTTTGAAGAAGCTACAAACGATTCAGTTTATGCTAAGTTGTTGGCCATAACCGAAGTTCATTCGATTCTTTACAAATTTGCTAATAAATTTACAGCAAATAGCTGACTATACTAGCACACTATAAACAGGAAGCGAATCTTAAGAAAGTATGACTCGATCAAATAAAATCCGCGTTATAAAACGCGTGTAAAACACCAATAGACTTGCCGAGTAGCCAAAAAATAAAAAATCTCAAAAAAAAGCACTTACCACGGAAGGAAGCTGGTTCGTATCAGCTACGCCTATTCCTGCCTTTATTTTCCAAGAGCCATTTTCAATAACTACGTAAGATTCTTCCTTCAAAGAGAAATGCATTTTGATAAGATATATAAGATATAACACTTTGATCTGTGTACTTGTATTATAGGATGAAAAATGATTGGTTCAGATATCTGACAAAAATAAACTTGTAGATAATCATAAAGTTGCTTTATAATTAACAATGAGCAATAACAATCAAAGAATTCAAAATCGAGAGGTGAATGACTTATGTTTCTTTTTCTTTTTATTTATCAATCATAAATTAATTCATGGTATTATTTTGTTTTAAATTTAAGTTTTTGAAAGCGGCGACATGGCAAATTGTAAACGATATTTGTAACGAAGAAGGTATGATATATTCTACTTCACTTCTCGGATAATATTTATATATATCGTAATTAATTGGGTTCTTAGCCGACGAGTTGAACGTAATTCCTACTCAACAATTTATCGCGTCATTGACCGAATTGGTTTACAAGCAAGCTGGTAATATCTATCCCTCTCATTTATATTTCAATAATTTTTACTGAAATTCTTTATTCTCGCTTATTTAGAAAAACTCGCCACGAACTTGGAAAATTTTGCAAAGTACTATAATTTATTATGAATATGATCTTTTATTTATTAAATTATTTATTATTTATATCGTTAAATAGTCATGCGAATCGATCCACGATATCAATAAACGATGTAAAGGTAACTAAAAAATTTTATTGGCCTTTTTTTCTTCACATTTAATTCATATTCTATTTAAAACGATAAAGCTTTGCAGTCGACGTAATGATGAATTGGTGAGCGTTTTTCTATCCTTTATTTATAATAAATTTTAAAATATGATTAACATGTTGTCACTAATATAGAATACGCATATTAATGAATTTGCCAATTCCATTATTGAACAACGTGTTACAAGATCTTCAGTAAGAAAACCACTTAATCAACAAGATTCACTAAATGATAATGAGAACAACGATTAAATGTTACAATATCTCTTATACAAGTAATAATATTTCTTTAAAGAAGTAATTGATAAATGTCTCTAAAAATTCTAGGATTGCACGAAATAGAAAGTAACTCATTTATACAATGTAATCGATTGTATTTACATATTAAATACCTTAATATGCATATATTAGTTATTATCATCTAAGACATAAGTAGATGACTATTTTTTCGTTTCCGTATTTTCTTGACTAGTTACTGCTGTTCCCTCTTTTAGATGAGATATTAAAGTATCTCGTCTTCTCTTTAAAATTTGATCTTCATTAAGAATATTTTGTTGCTCCCACAAAACACATTCACGTTCGTTTACAGGAGACAATACAACTTCAGATGTGGAAGTGTGCATTGGAGATGATAGTTTATGTGAATTTTCAGTAATATCTGAGAGCGAATGTGAAACATGGATACTTGACTTTGGTGATGTAGAAGGATGATGAGAAATTTCAAGAGGAGAAATATTTCTCCTTCCATTCCGTTGAGTTTTGGTTATGTCATTTATTGTAGAAGGTCGAGACGAAAACATCAACCCTTCTTCATCGTCATGTGCAATCCTTTCATTTTCAACTTTCGAATCTGGTGCTTTTTCTAAACTTTGAGATAACCATCTTGCAATAACTCTTACAGCGCCTGAACTCTCTGGCAATAATGCCAACATTTGTAAAAACGCGTGACTAATGCCTTGAAGGATTTTTACTTCTACCCAATCATCAGTATCATCAGACTTGTCTACGCTACTCATTCTTAAATTTTCTCCAAACTTAGCACTGTTCTGTTTTTTCCTCATCTTGGCTTCTCTTATACGTCCCGCAAATACAACAGTATCATCTACCAAAGGATCTTTTTCTCCACACATAAGATAAACTTTTGGAAATTGTGCCAACAATTCATCAGGTCCAACAATAGGAGATAGCAAATAATCCGAGGTGAAATCAGGACAATTATTAGGACCAAGATAAAGAATGGCCATTGCCCGCATCTAACAACGAAAAAAAAAGTTAAATATACAATAACAAATTAACTTTACAACCCAAACGAACAGCTTTACCAGGTCAGGATTAAGAATCCTGTCATTAAAATAACTCATACGACTCGTCATTGCCAATCGTGTTCCTATTATAGGACGAGAATTTCTTTCATTGAGATGTCGAGTCATATCACGACCATCAATATATTTAACTCTTTCTTCAATTGTCTTTTCGTCTTCTCTCGATCCAGAAAAACCTCTACTCCATCTTCTCTTTTTTTTAATATCTGGTACTACAGCCAAAGGACTTTTATGTCGTAAATGATCTTTAGATTCTAATAATCCATGAATGGAAGGAGTAGATTCTGCTCTTATAACAGAAAGTTGAGACGGTGACATCCAACATGTAATGTCAAAATTCAAACAAGGATAAATAAGAATTAAAGCATTAGGATGCGGAAGGGGCGTTGGAGATTCAAGTATTTTGAACATTACCGATGTTACAATATTTCCGCCACTTTATTTTGTTTGTAATAAGAATAATTAATAAATTAAAAAATAACTACTTATAAACGGGATATCATAATACTTACGCAGAATCTCCGACCATTACAATTTTAATTTGTTTCCTTTTGCTGCCATCTTTATTTGTCCATCCAGACATACCTATAGCTTCACCGTTACTTTCCATAATACTTTGATAAACATCAAAACATTCCTCCAAAGCATAAGGGTATGGAAACTCTGGTGCTTTCGCATAGTCTATACTCAAAATAGGGACATGAGTCTTTTTTGCCCAATGACATAAATAATCCTCATGGCAAGGAGGGGGCATCGTAATAAAACCACCTCCTGGAAAATCGAGTATAAGTTTATCACTATTTTCGAATGACTCTTGTGTACCATCATAGTAAATATAACCTACAACTGGTTGTGAACCATGAGGATTATTTTTTGGACGAGGAATAAGAATTTTTTTTTGGCATATAGTCAAACGTGGACTCAATAACTTGATCGCAGCACGTAATATCGGATTAAGTGTCTTTTCCCAAGAAACTCGTAGACACTCGACAGTTATTGTAGCGCGTATTCTTCGAGCCTGAAATAGAATGTTTAAATAAAGTATCCAAAAAAATGAAGATAGCCATTAACGACTTCTTACCTTTTCGTCTGCCTGATCAGCAAAAATCAAATAGTATATAGAAAAAACTATGGACATTATATCCCTGAGAAATTTAGGACGAATCGACATTGCAGTCCAAAATCCGGCATCAAGTGCGGTTAAAATCCATGTTGCACGATAAAAATTACGACTGTACTATTATATTATAAAAGTTTTTTAGCATTTAAAGACAAAAAATATAGAATTAATTTACAGTACATACAAGTCGGGAAAGTGGTTCAGGTGCTTTTGTAAACGTTAAAAAAATTGTTAGCAATATATTAAAAAAAATAAATACGAATGGAAGACATTAATAACTTACCACCAAGTCCTATCATGCGGTCAGCATTCTTTAGCATATATAAGACTGTCAAAGTACCAGCAATTAATTGAAAAGGAGTAAACCGACCTAAATATATGAAGCTTGTTAATACTAAGGATATCGACATAACAAGAGCAATTAAAAAAAGACTTACAGAGTTTCTCATTCAAATTTCGACAAAATTTAGGACCTCTGCTATCTGCTTTGTGTAGGTACAAAAACCTGAAAAAGAGAAATTACAAGTAAGATAAATGTCAAGTTAAGAGAATATCAAGTTTGAACCATTACCAGACAAAGGATACTAAAAATACTTGAAAACGTTTCCAAGAGGGAGAAGGCCTTCCTAAAAGGTGATCAATCATATTCTTTAAATTCTCTTCTCAATAGCGTTCAAGAGTAAGTTCGGTGATAGCCATATGATTTCGATCATCTAAATCATGTTAAATAATGAAGTAATTACCTAATTTTTTGAGTGGATCATACAAATGATGTGATGTTTGTTTCCAGAAATATCCACCATAAAGATAAATAAAGAACTTCGTACAACATATAAGTTTGTTGACAAATATACTAGTTTTTTAAATTGAATCTTGCAATCCGCGCAACGAATTTTAATTTTTTTAATGGATTTCTTACTAAGAGATTATATATAACGATAATTTAATATTTCACTTAAAAGATTTTCATATTTTCAAAATGCCCCGAACTTTACACGCCGAGACAGTTCTAGGACAGTCTCTCTTCCAAAAAATAAGTAACTGTCGCGTACTAATGGTTGGAGCCGGTGGCATCGGCTGCGAGTTATTAAAAAATTTGGCAATGTCTGGTTTTCGTCAGATCGAACTGGTTTGTCTTTATTGCTTACCGTTTAATTTGTACACGTGTAATATTAATCTGAAAAAAACATAATATATGGCAGGTTGATCTGGATACAATAGACCTTTCAAATTTAAATCGGCAATTTTTATTTCAAAAGCAGCATATTATGAAGTCTAAGGCAGAAGTATGTCATTAAAATTTTATTTTATTTTCTAGAATTTTCGCGTTTTAACAATTCTTTTGTTAAAAATTAGGTCGCGCGTGAATCCGCGTTAAAATTTAACCCTAATATAAATATTATTGCGCACCATGCTAATATCAAAAGCCCTCGTTTTAACGTTGAATGGTTTAAAAGTTTCGATATTGTAATGAACGCGTTAGACAATCTTGGTACTAATGTTATTTATTAATACTTATAATATTTTTCAATATATTAAATTAAATTTAAATTTATTCAGATGCTAGACGTCATGTAAATATGATGTGTTTAGTTGCCAATGTACCATTAATTGAATCTGGTACGGAAGGATATTTGGGTCAAGTTACTGCCATTAAAAAGGTTTGTAATTATCAAAATTTTACTTATTATTATTATTAATTGACGCGTTAATTTCAGTTTATTATTAATTTTAGGATGAAACCGAATGTTATGATTGTCAACCTAAACCAGTAAGAAGAACATACCCAGTATGTACAATTCGAAGCACTCCCAGCCAACCTATTCATTGTATCGTGTGGGCTAAAAGCTATCTTTTTAGGTTTGTCCGCTCTATGAAAATATTCTATTTATATTACGTCATTTTAACAAATTTTTTAGTCAGTTATTTGGATTACCTGAAGATGATGATGATGAACGGTTAGAAGCAGAAATGACTCAAGAAAACGGTAAATTTTATTCTTTACAACGAGTTTCATTTATATATTTCTAATCATTATAATCTTTTGTATTCTCTTCAGTAAAAGAAATAGAAAATCTTAAGAAAGAAACGCAAGCGTTAAAGCAAATTAGAGAAGCAATGGGAACGGCTGATTATCCTCAGAAGGTTTTTAAAAAGGTTTTTACAGATGATATAAATCGTTTGCTCAGTATGGAAGATATGTGGCAAAACAGAAAATCTCCTGTGGCATTAAAATATGAAGAAATAGAAAAACTAGTTACAGAAGGTAACTCACAGTTAAATAACACGGAAGAATCTAATACATTAAAAGACCAACGTGTATGGAGTTTAGCGGAAAACTTCGTTGTATTCTTAGACAGGTTTGTTAAATATGCTATATATATTTTTGACTTATTATTATTTATTTTTATATTTGTTTATATTTAGTGTTCGACGACTGAGCGAAAAATTGATGAAAGAACAAGCAAATAACCCAAATGCTTCTCTTTCATTTGATAAGGATGACCCTGATTCTTTGGATTTTGTAACAGCAACATCCAATCTACGGTCAATTATCTTTGATATTGAACCAAAATCACAATTTAAAGTTAAAGGTAAGAAATAGATCTTATTTTACACAGATTCATGCCGAAATGTTACATGTTAAATACTCTTTTTTTTTCCCTAAACTTTAGAAATGGCTGGTAATATCATTCCAGCTATTGCAACAACCAATGCAATAATTGCAGGAATGATTGTGATGCAATCATTTAAAATACTTAATGAAAAACTGAATGAGTGTAAAACTGTACATATTAAAGTATTTTGATTATAATATTTTTTATTGAGTATTTTAAAAATAAAGTTTTATCGTATTTTAGATATTTTTTGACGGTTCAAGACGACCACAAATCTTTCTTTCTGAATCATTAAATCCACCAAATCCAGAATGTCGCGTTTGCAACAATACACATATTATTTTGAAAGTAAACACCAAAAAGGCAACTTTACGTGATTTTCTCGATAAAGTTATTCACGGACGAAATGATGATATGGATATTGGTGAAGTTATAGTAGAAGAGGGAGGAAGGTCTGAGATTACTTTCAATGTGATGGTTATAATTTTGTACTATTGTTTTGTTAAATCTAATTTTTTTATTAACAGGATTATATATGATGTTGAGTATGATGACAATCTTGATGCTACTTTTGAGCAACTTCAAATTACTGATGGTAAATTAGTTTCGGTAAAGCCGGATGATGATATTGACGAACAAAATTCGTCCATTTTTGCTATTTCTCATAGGTATTACATTTTTTTTCCCTGAATTTCCTTGTAATTTAATTTGATATATCTAATACTTATTCTAAATTAATAGAGATTTTGAAACGCCTAATACATGGTTTCAAGTTGATGGTGAACCTTTTGCTACTAGAAACAAGATTTCTGTCACAAAATCTAATTCATTTTCTAAACAAAAAAGGAAGCTGGAAGAATCCGAAGTTGATACTTTTGAAGGATTATCCCGTAAACGTCCTGCAATGAACGAGGAGATTTTAGTGGAAGACGATGATATTATAGTTACAGATAGTGGAACTCAAAAACTTATTGTCATTGATTAGTTTGTCATCTTTCATCTAATAAAGCAATGTTAAGAAAAGTGTCTATAATTTAAATTATTACAAAACCTTAAATGTTTATTAAATTATATATATAAAACGTATTTACAACATCAAATTTAATCTATAAAAGTAAAAATATATTCAAGAAATATTTGTAAATAAATATTGATATAATACAAAAAGAAAGAAAATTCTAATTCTAAATGACAAAAAAATGTTGAATCTTAATTTTATCAAATTTCCTTATTTAATATTTTCATCATAATGTTTCATTCATAATTGCTACGAAAATCATATACATTTTATACATTTTACACTTAAGCAATTCAAAGGTAACGTTTAATGTGCACCACATCTATAGTAAAAACTTTATAAAGCCATAAAAGGGAGATATTATATCATAGTATAATGACGTGAAAATTTCATCGTCACAAATAAAATCTATATATATCTTAAACGAATTTCACTTAATTTATTATTGTGCGGACTGTGGAATTACAGCGGCACCATCATAATCTTTTTGATGTTTGGAAGGATTTGAAAGCTCACTAATATATGATGCCTTTCGTTTTTTGTCAGGTTGCTTTTCCAGATCTATAGAGTCATACCCCCCTCCAGGGCCCGTAGGACCTAAATCACTAGGCCCTCGATTGCTTCTTTCAAGCAAGAGAGATTTAAGGAGATTTTTCTATTTAAATCATAATTAATATACTGCTGCTTATTGAAAAATAGTGACAACATAGATTTAACACTAACCTCAATCTCTAGCTTTCTAACTTGCTCTTCAAGTAATTCACGTCGATGACGTAATTTACGCTCATTAATAACCTCATTTTCAAGCTGACGCACACGATCTTCAAGGTAATCATTACGTTCTTTTAATTGTATTTCTAAAGTTCTTCTATTTACCATATCAATATCAGATTCTATTTTAATTTGATCTTCAATTCTCTGCTGAGAATCTTGAGAATATTGAATATAACGTGCAGATGAAGTCTTAACAGATTCAACAGGAAAAACTATTTGCCCATGTGAAATTCGATTCGAATTATTAACGGGATTATGTATAGATTGTTGTTGATTTGAAGAAGTTTTTTGCATCTGAATTTTTTGCTGCCATTGTTTAATTTGTTCTTGTGATTGCCTCTGAGATTCTGAGTGTATTATTGGTGATTTATTCACTTGTCTTTGATTTGAATCCACACCATTTTTATCAATTTGTTGCTTTTGCTGTGGCGGTGGAAGTGGCTGTTGTTGTTGAGGCTGAGATTGTAATTGTTGCGGCTGCTCTTCAGTTTGTTGTTGTCCATTTGCTGACGGTTGGTATAGTTTTTTCTGTGGTCCACCACAGAAACTTTCTGCGCGTAAATGTCTGTTCAGGGCATCTAATCTCGCAAAACTTCTCTTACAATGTGGACATTGATAGGGCTTTTCACCCGTATGTAATTTTGCGTGTCTTTTCAAATCGTGGTGTCGACGGAAAAAGTGCTGACATACTTCGCATTGAAAAGGTTTTTCTTGGGAATGAGTTAATGCATGTGATTTTAGATTATGTTGCCGACTAAATGTTTGATTACATTCTGTACAAACGTATGGCTTTGACTTTGCTGGACTAGGACTTTGAGGCTGCCCAGAAGTAGTCAATTTTCCCTGAGGATTTACAGAAAACGAATTGAATAAACCCGTAGGTGAGCTACCCTTTTGTGTTGGTAAAGGAGTAGGAGGAGAAGTTAAATTACTAGAATCGGAGCTATAATTAGCTGGTGATAAAATCGGGGAACCGGATATTGCTCTCTGAGAATTAGGCGTTAACATATTTATATCTTGTGAAGAAAAATTGTTATTTTGAGGAGTCGATTCGCCAGGAGACGAAGTGTGTATCTCTGGAACCTGAGAGGAGTTTGCACCGATACTAGATAAGTTAGAAACTTTGTTTGGAGAAGAATCTTGTTTAGAAATAAGAGAAATAAGATGCTCTGTATTTTGAGTTTGCGGTTCGGCAGGTTGAATACGAAATGAATTTATAGAGGAGTTCGAGGGGGAAGTTGTCGAAGAATCTGTGTATAAAGGCAAGTCTTCTTTCGTTGAATCATTTTTAGGTTCAGAGTTATGATTTGTTTCAATTCCAACATCCATTTTTTTTGCGTTGAAGAAATTGCTGTGGCTTGAAATGTGGGTTGAGTGGGAGGCGTGAGAGGCAAAAGGAAAATGCCAGGGGTATTTATTAGACGATTATGAATTTGTGATCTTCAATCAATGATTGATGAAAAAGGAATAGCGCTTGTGGATGGTGTACTGGTGAAACTGGTGAACAAAACCAATAAGGCAAGACGTTTCCCGGTGGCGTTCGTCTTGTGTACAAAACTTATAAACTATAAATATATTATAAAATAAAGGCCTAAAATACCTAATATAGAATGGAAAGAAAAAAAAACGCCCGTAATATCCCATCTATTTATGGTATATTTTCTATACTTGAACATTGTAATGAAAATGTAATGTTCTATAAAATACTTCGAATATTTTGCTACAAAGAATACTATTTTCAAGACTTTTTTTTTCGGAAGAATTTCTAAATAATTATGTTGGTAAAATTTTTTATTTTTAAAAAATTCAGGTTAATAAACAAGGATATTACGCTTGAGGGCTTATTTCTTTGAACGGTGCCACGGCGCTGTGCAGTCTAGCCATCCATGTATTAACTAACACACAGCCACCAATTGCTTTTACGGGTGTTAAAAACAGCATCATCTGGACCGTAAGATCGAGTGATCGGAAAAAAAACACGGTGTGGCAGTGTAGTATTATTATCGGGAACAGTTCTTTGTTTTTTTTTTGTTTAAAGGTGCAAAGATGCGAGATTTAAATTATATTCAAGCGGCTGGCTGTGAGAATCAAAGCCGAGCCCATTTCGATTGTTATTCTGAAAATAATTATTATTTCAATGGAAGAAATTCAAACAGCAAAAATTACTTTTCCGGGAAATATCCATAAAAAGCTTTGCTAATGAGCCGCACTAAAGAATACTCTGTATGCATTCATTGGTTGTAGTAAATGTAACACTACCGTATTTTGAGGCTTGCTTCTCGGGTATATAATCATTTGGTAACTTACATAATAACTCGCCCACAATGCCTGGCTCGATAGGGCTGGAGCAAATCTATACTTGCGAAAAAACTGTTATTTTTCAACCCGAGGGGTTTTATTAAAAAAATTTGCCTTCCTATAAAGGCAATTTCAAGATCTCGATTAATTTTTTAATCGCTTATATAAATCAAATAATTAGGGTGGCTAAGGGCATAATCGTCAGTTAATTTACATCATTAAATTCGGAAACGGAAAGTATATATCGGGTAAGATCAATCTAATGCCGAAATTTTAATTCGTCGTTCTCTAAGTTTGATAGAGTTATAAAATATTCTTTATGGTTCTTCTGAGTGTCTTACCGATCAAGATTCCGAGCAGAAAGAGTCTCTTGAATTTTGATAACAAAAAATTTATAAACTTAATTTATGAATTTCTTCCGTGGAAAGAAAAAAATGAATGTAAATTAGTAGAACATTTAAATCACATGCAAAAAAATTGTTAACCTCTAACCTACTTTACCTAATTTTACTAAAAAATATAAGCAAGTGGCGTAATAAGATGACACAAATTTTATGTCATAATGATGTATTTTTACCTGTTATATTCCTGACTGCATTAGCACTTTTACCGTTAAAAATTATGCGCAAGTTCCTTAATTACTAAATCTGGAACTTAGGAACTGCCAAATCCAAAATTTTTCCGTTTTTTGATCTGCTTTGACTCTGATTAGATTTCTTCACGTGAAACTAAATTACGCGCGTCGCAAAACATGCAAGAACTTACAACAAATCCACAAGGAGGGCTCGCGAATATCAAGACGGGTGAACCTATAGTTTATAACAAGGAGACGATAGCTGACTTGTATCTTTTTATAAAAGTGACGCGTCAAATTTAAATCTATAAACTCGATAGCATAGACACCTTAACTCTCTTTATTGCGTTAAAGTATGGAAGAGAAAGGGATTCAAATGGAAAAACAACATAAGAGAAATGATGTAGCGAAAAAATTCTTTGAACGAGGAAATAAAGGGAAAGTAGAATATGTCCTTAATTCAAATATATCAACATATGATAGTTCTCAAAATATCAAACAATGTAAAATAGTTTTAATAGCGGATAAACAGGTTGAGAGCTATCGATATATGTACCAAACGCGAATACTTGAAGGTATAATATTGAATAATTATCTATAAAATCAATTTTTATTCATTGACTTCTTATTTAATTCTGTAGAATTAGATGTTAGATTTTCTAGTTTATCAACAATTATAAAAAATCATGAAGTTTTTGATGCATTCCACATCAATCAAGTAAGAAACGTGACTAAAACCTTCGGCTGAAAGTTTTGAACAGCTATTGATTTTGGATGAACTATTTCTAAAATATTTTTTAGAATATAATTGGCAGAATCTGTTGTGATTCAGAGGGAAAGCTTAATGATGAATCTGTCTTGCTAGAAATCCCAGAAAAACGAAATCGGTTGAAATTATCGCTCAATAAAATTGAATCATATGCCTTATTTTCTGGACAGGTATTTCTCTTATTTCTCTGCAAATCGCATTTTATATGAATTAACTTTTTTTCTTCTTTTAAAAAAATTATAATTAGATAGTGGGTGTTAAAGGTACTATGAAAAACGAAGAAAATTATTTAGAAATAAATAATATATTTGAGGTAATATATATCATTTTTTAAATTTTATTCGAATTTTATAAACTTTAGATAACTTTATTATTATCTTTATTATCTTACAAATATAGGTACCCTTATTGCCTATGTATAAAAGTCCATTCGGCGAATTAGTTGAATTAAATGTAAAACCATTAAATATAGTGGTTGCAGCCGGACCATTTACTTTTGATGTTGGATTTGGATATGAACCTTTCAATGAGTTACTTATTAAGATGGAACAAGAAAAACCTGATCTCCTAATCTTGGTAATTTTTTTTAAAAAAAATAAAGTGATTTGTAATAACTTTTATGCTTTTTATTAATTATTTACTTAGTTAGGACCGTTTGTGAGCGAAGATCATCCTCTTTTAATAGAAAAGAATACACCTAAAACCCCCGGTGAACTTTTTAAAGAACATGTTACTGATAAATTGAGTAAATTTATAAAGGCTTCGCCTGGTGTATCAATTGTCATGGTTCCAAGCACCAAGGATCTATTTCACTGTTCATTTGTTTTTCCACAGCCTCCATTTCCCAAATCAGGATTACCAAAGGTATTATTTATCAATTATTTACTAAGTAGAAATACATTATTAATTAAATGATAAATTCTTTAGGATGTCATCTGTACATCTAACCCTGCTCAATTCCGAGTAAATGAGATAACGTTTGTTATTGATAATGTTGATATCTTATTTCATCTTGCCTCAAATGAAATTGAAAGGTATATTAAAATTGTATTTAAAACTTGAAAATACGCATAAATTAATTTGTTAAATTTATAGAAATGCGGCACCTGCTTTAGATCGAATGGGAAGGTTATCACGTCACATATTGATACAAAGACAGTATGTATCTTCAATTTAGTAAATATGTAAAACAATTTCTTTAAAGAGATTCTATTTTTTTAGTCTTTATCCATTATTTCCTACATCACCTGAAGTAAATCTCGAATACAAGAAATCTAGTTTTCTTGAATTACAAAATTTGCCCGATATACTGATTCTTCCCTCAAAACTTAAATATTTTGCGAAGGTAATTACTTTTAAATATTGCGCACTTTCGGATTGAATACTTACAATAATTTTTTTTTTTAATAGATTGTTGAAAATGTTATTTGTATTAATCCCGGTTATCTATCAAAAGGCGAATCTGGCGGAACGTATGCAAAAATAACTATACATCCTTTACAACAGACACTTATGGAAGGTGCATTTATAGAAAATTTAGTTTCTAAAAGGGCCAGAGTTGAGATAGTTAGAGTTTAGTAATGTACTTATCTATTCCAAATAATAATAAGTTTAATAGATTTTAAACATTAAATTGTTATATTGTGTATATCATGAGATACAGAGTATTGAGTATACAGTATAGAAAGTAAATAGCATAATTAAGTTATCCTCCTCCATACATAAACCCACAAATCTAGTGAACTAAACCAATTATTCATGATATACAGATAAAGGAACAAAAACGATCTATTTTCTTGCTATCTCATATCAAAATATACATGTATATAACTCTTACAATAATAATAATTACCTTAAATATTAAAAAACATAATTTTTTTTTTTCGTTACATTATTCTATTCAAAGTTAATTTCTATAAGTTTACTTATCATCCATATTTTTCATGATAACTGATAATGCCAAATCATGTCTGTAATATAATCATCTCTTGTCAAAGGATTATCATCTCCCCCAAAAGCCTGTATTTCCCACAATGTATAAGGATGTCTTTTGCGATTTGGACGACCTTCTATTTCATTGTAATTCTGACGAGCATATTTTTCTCCTACTTCACTTTTTGGGAATTTTGGTGCGGGAGGTAAACTCTTGAAAATTTCACTTATAGTCGGACGATTAAAAAACATTATCTTAGCTCGTTCTTTAGCTTTTTTAATAGCATCTGCACAGGATAATATTGGGGTAGTGTCCAAATTGTACTTAACTTTCTTTCTTTTTTGTGACAATGGTAAAATAGATCTCGACAATGCCACGCCAACTTGGAAATCATCGTCATCATCATCGATTTCCTTTTTACGTTTATCAGATTTTTCAACGGTCGATCTAGCCTTAAAGACTATTGAACTCTGGAAATCATCATCATCATGATCAAGTATGGAAACGTTATACGAACGTGAAACGACAAAAGATAATTTCGGATTCTCCTTAGATATTGAGTCCGTTTTTGATAGTTTATCATTAGAAATTGGATTAAAATAATTCGTTAACTTCTTTTCTTTATGACCTATATGTGGTGAAGTTTTTCCTGGTCTTGGAATTATGCTTGAAGACAGGTAACTAGGAGGATCTCTTCCATATTTTCTTTTTAATTCTTGTAGAAATTCTAACATTTTATTTGGTGTATATTTATGTTTTCTACCACACGTCTTGAAATGATTAAGTTTTCCTTTCTCGGTCTTGGCTTTGAAAGTTATATTACAACATGGACATACCATAGCAATGGCAAATAAAGAATGTTGTTCTTTGTTTTCACTCTGTTTCGCGTCGAATTTCTTAACGGAAATAGAGTTTGTTTCAATCTCAATTTTATTGTCGAGGCATGCATTAATATGTAATTCACGAGTGTTAAGTGAACAATAACTAAGATTCTTTCCACACACTATACAAAACTCTGTAGTAGTTTTGTCTTGCTTATTTATATTGTTAGTGGTCGCAGTACTCCTTTGAACAATCATTTTTTCATTAGTTGAGTTGGTAATGATGGTAGTATCAGCTGTCGGTATCATCGCGTTAGTCTTTTTATTGGTCATATTTTCTTTTCCTTTAGGATGTACCGCTGAACATTCTTTTTCAGGAAGTTTACGCTTTAAAAGTTCTTTGATTCTCTGTTTTCTTTCCATATTTAGATAAATTTTAGATAAATGGTTTATTGGCATGCAAAAGTGAATTAAATAATTAATAAAAGAAAAAGAAAACGCGCTATCTGATCTGATATTCTTTCATATCACCCTTATACAATCACATCAACATGTGACGGTAATTTCAGCCAATTTTGTAATGAATGTTATGTAATTCCTAATTCATAATAAACTTAATTTTCTAATATTTTATATAATAGAAGAAAGTTGAATATTAAATGCAGTATCATCACATACTTTTTAAAGAAGAATCTCTATTTTTTTATTTATTTTAAAGGTATTTTGAGTATAAGTTCTATAGATTTATTTACATTTTTTATTAGAGACTCTATTTTTTTATTTGTTTTTTCGGTTATTCTCATATTTTGAGTCCCTTTGAGGTTATTTAAATAATCTTCAACGGTAAATGCCGCATTTCTTTTTGGTGTAATAAAAATAGAGGATACCGGATTGTATGGAGAATATCGTATTGTAGGTGATATTGTTTTTAAATTTTCTTTCTAAATAATAGAGAAATTGGTATGTAAATCAATTCTTTACAGAGAATAAAAAGAATAATTTTTTTTTTTACCTTATTCTCTTTTGTTTCGATATTTTCCGCTAGTTCGTTTAATTGTTCATCGAACTTCTCTTCGTTATTTAGTTTTCCTTTAGTTTTTTCATTTGTTATAATATCACCCATTTTATAAATTTCCTCAATTGATTTGACATTATTTACTTGACCATCAATTATGTCTCCCTCATCTGTAATAGTTTCGTCTATAATATTAAGTTCTTCCATATGTGTAATAATATTTTGTTCGTATATATTAAATTCTTCCATATCTGTAATGACATTTCGTTCACTTTTGTCAATTATGCAAAGTTCCTCCATATCTGTAATCATATTTCGTTCATTCTCATCCATGATCGTACTATTTGATTCTTTATTTACAATAATATCAAGTTTCTCTTCATTTTCTATAATGTTATTACGTTCCCCCTCATTTGTAATAATGTTATTTAGTTCCTCCTCATTTGTTATAATGTCATTCCGTCCCTTCTCATTTGTTATAATGTCATTTCGTCCCTCCTCATCAATAACATTACTTTGTTCTTCCCTATTTATAAAGACATTTTCTCGTTCATCTTCTTCCACGCGCGTTAAAACATAATTTAGTAGATCTTGGCTCATAAGATGTTCCTCATTTTCGCTAATATTACTTAATTTTTCATTGATTCCTTCCTCAACTGAAAAATTCATCGATTTTTCCTTAATTTCTTCTCGTGTTCTTCTAAGTTTATCAACAGACTCGTCCCCTTTCGTTTGATCATTATTTATTAGTCCGATAATCTCTTCCTCGTTGGTTTGAGCATTATTTACTTGTTCAACAATTCTTGTTCCTTCTTCGTCTGTGCTGTTATTGTCAACCTTTTTTATTTGCTCATCAATCTCCTCACTTTTTTCGATAAATTCTGCACGTTCCTCAATTCCATTTATACTAATAATGTTTGGTAATTCGTCAATTCTTTTTTCGTTTATATCAGTAATATTGTGTGGTTCGTCTATATTCTCCTCAGTTATATTAATATTTTTTGATGGTTCGTCATTTACATTCTCATCTATACTAGTAAGTGATTCGTTCACATCCATATTAATTATCCTTAGTAGCTCGTCCATATTCGTACCAGCTATCATTGGAATTACTTCTTCATTTATATTAATAATATTTAATGATTCGTCAATTTCATTCTCATCCATACTAATAATATTTAATGGCTCGTCCATATTCGTATTAATTAACATTGGTTCGTCAAAAATTATTTCTTCATTTATATTCTCATCTACACTAGTAATAATTAGTGGGTCATCCACATTCATACTAATTATCATTAGTGATTCGTCAATTACTTCTTCATTTATACTAATAATATTTGATGATTCGTTGATTCTCTCATTACTGATACTAATATTATTTGGTGATTCGTTGATTTTCTCCTCATTTACACTAATTATCATTGGTGGTTTGTCGATTATTTCTTCATTTATACTAATAATATTTGATGATTCGTTGATTCTCTCGTTACTGATACTAATATTATTTAGTGATTCGTTAATTTTCTCCTCGTCAATTACTTCTTCATTTATACTAATAATATTTGATGATTCGTTGATTCTCTCATTACTTACACCAATATTATTTGGTGATTCGTTAATTTTCTCCTCATTTACACTAATTATATTTGATGGTTCGTTTAGTGATTCGTTAATTTTCTCATCTATTTCAAACCTCACATTTAATTTTTTATTTTTTTTAGTACGAGAAGTAAGATCAACGACCTCTACATCATTTTTATTATCGACATCTGCATCCTTTTTATTTCCACGAGATTTTTTCGATTTTGAAGGGGTTTTAGCAAAAAATATACAGGTATCGCCTCCTCTTTTACGATGTTCCTCCCTTTTAATTTATTAATTAAGTGAATAAAAAGTAATAAAAAAGACGCTATAAATAAATGAAAAAGATTCTTACACAGGATCATCGTCAGGTTCCCAACAATCTAGTTCGATCCCACAATACATACAAAATACATTATCTTCTGAAGTATAAGTTGGGGCAAAATAAAATCCAGCTTTCGCCATCTAACATTTTAAGAAACGCGTTAGAAATAATAAAAATAATAATAATAATAAATAAATAAATAAATAAATAAATAAATAAATAAATAAACTAAAATAAATTTAGATACCTTTTTGCTCGTTATAGCCCAGCCTTTCTTACCGTCATGCGGCCACCAGTTTTTAAATGTTTTAAACCTGATATCACACATATTTTTGGAATTTGGCCATTGAGCCTCATTATCCCAATTAAAAGGTATGTTATTATCGAGTTCTTTTTTAATATGTTGACAAATAGCCCAAACACAATCAGGAGAATTAGTGAAGTGTTCTTCACATGGAACATCATCTGGACGCCAACAATCCATTGATTTGTGACATAAGTAACATGTCACATTATCTGGGGATTTTTTTGACGGATTAAAATAAAATCCCGCAAGCGATAACTTTTTTTTTTTTTAAAAAAAAAAAAAAAAAAAAAAATGTTAACTTCAATTATTTTTGTATCAAAACGAATGCAAAATAAATTAATAATAGTAATAATGATAATACATACAGTTTCAGGAGTTGGCTTATATCCATCGGACGATTTGTATGGCCATTTCATTTTTTTACTCGTAAAAGATTTCAAACGGTTATCATACAAATACATACTCATATTTGGAAACTTTAAGAAAAGCGTGTAAAAATATTTGAAGATAAAAGAGAATATTATTGAAATATTACTAGAATATTTAAAAGTCAAGAAACTTTTGTTTATTCAGAAAGAGTTCAGAAAGAGAATGTTTTCGACGCGAAAAAGGTCAACTGATCCTTATAAATAAAATTATTTCACGTGATTAAATTTATTACGTCACGAGTATGTTCTGAAATTTCAACTTTTTATTATTATTTACTCATATCTTACAAAGAAAAAAAAAAAAAAGAAAATTTTTTTTTTTTTTTTTTTTTTTTTTTTAAATACTTGACTTTAATATAACCGAAAAAACGGAATGAGCCGAATTAATAATTATTTTTGAATTTTTCGTATCAATAATTTTTGTTTCATAAATAATTTCTTTTTGATCTTCTTTATGATCAATTTCTTGATCATCATGAGATTTCATACTTGTAATATTATTATCATCATTATTATTATAATTATCATTATTAATGTTTTTGTTATCATCACCATCATCAATTTGTGATTGTGTATTTGTAACATGAAAGTTTACCATAAAATCAACCCTAACTTCATAATTATTTGGATTTGCTATAGCTAAACATTGAATTTCATTGGTAATAAGTTTATGTTGTTTAGTATTCTTTGAACAAAATTTCACAGGTTCAAGACAATGCATTAAAGGTTCAACAAAAACTTGTTCAATTTGAGGATTATTTTCAAGATCTTCCATTTGTGCTTTTGAAAGAACGTAGGATAAAATTCCTCCTAAAGGTGGTTTGGTTATGGTCGGTATTGGCATTTTTGAAGCGTTACCTAATATTGTACGTGTAAATACTTTTTTTGATTTTTCAATTACCGAAACATCATACGCTAAAAAATGATTATGATGATGATGATGATGTTAATTACGTGTAATAATACGTGTGCGTATATGCTATTAATAGCAGAGAATTTACTTACACATATTATTCGTTTTTTCTTTAGCACACATGTATATGGTCCATCCGGCAGGCATAGAAGATGAACCAACGTATAAATGAGACTATAATAAAAAGATTTCGTTAAAGAATATATTAACCACCAGTAAGTAAGTATATTCCACCAGTATATTCTACCAGTATATTTATTTACCTTTGACATTTCTTCCGTATTTTCATAAAATGAAATATGTGGAGCTCCATACCAAAACTAAATTAACGGGTTGAAATCATTAATTATTAATTACTTATTGAGACAAAATTAAGAGTAACAACAATATTTACCTGAAATGTAATCAATAATACCACACACAAAGCGAAATAATAATCACAAGTTCTATCACTGAGCAAAATCATTATTGTTTTTATTTATTCAAATAATTTTTATGGGTCTCCTTGGAGCGGTCCTAAAAAAAATAAAAATTTAAATTATTTGATACTTTTGATGATTTGATTTTATATATATATATATATATCCTTACCTTTTATTGTCGTTAAAAAAAAAATTAATAATAATAATTTATAATGGTCGTAAAAAAATTGTCATAAAAATTATTTAAAAAAAAAACACTTGAATTAAAGGGTCTTTATCTTTATTATATATGTCAAATTGGTAACATAGATGTAGTGAATCTTTACACGAAATACAAAGATTATCACTTATTGTAACCAAAAATAAACAGTAATTTCCTTAATATTTTTCCCTACTATTTTAATTTATCCTTTTAGAATTTTGCATTATCTTTTAATCTATTTTTGGCATATTGTCCCCGAAAAAGAAATTGATAAGGAGAATACTTTGAATGTATTTACATATCGATGCAATATAGATATTTTTAAAAATTTTTATTCATTTATCAAATAAAATTTTAGATCACACCAAAATCGCCCAATTTACTATTTCTTATCATATCATTATAATACTTTATTAAGATAAACAAACTTTACTAATTTTGGTATATGACAATGTGTTACCGCCTATTCCGTTTATTATCAAAAAGAAAAAAGAGATTGTTGAATACAATCTTCTTTGCAGAGTCTTCATGCAGCTTTTTTGTCACTTGTGAAAACCTCATTCAAATAATAATAAAAGTGGTCCTAACCGAAACTTTGTTCATATGCATGACGGTTAAAATTATCTTCCACGAATTCCGTAATAGGATTAATGCAATTTTTATCGTAATTAATCGTTACCCGTATTCCGTCCGTGTCAAATGCTGCACAAAATTACTAATCAGCATTCAAATATATATATATCTATTATAAAATAGCTGTTTAAGTAGTTTATAAAGTTATAATGTAATTCAGCACATAAATAAGTATGTATAGACTTTACGCTAAGAATCGTTAGTAAAAGAGATATGAATTCGACGATGCGTTGTTCACTTCCGAGTTACGAGGCATATGAAGGAGGATCTTCGAGAGAATTGTTACCCATATATGATATATTATTCTTGATTATAAACCGGAATTATATTCCGAATTGGGCTGAGATTGTTTTTATTATCCGATCATTTAAGGTTAACTAAATGTTTACCACTTAATTCATTTCTGGTACTCACATACTCAAAACAGTTTGACAGAAATATACATTAATTAATAATCTTATTATTATACTTACGTAGCATTTTTTTTTGATATTATATCTATAAATAGTAACCCTCAAATATTATTTATAGAATATCATTATTATTATTTATTTATTATTTTTGAAACATTTCTTTTACTTCTTACAAATATTGTATATAAATGATATATTTTCGACAAAAAATCATAATTATTCCTTATAAAATTGATTAATAAAGTAGTTACTAATATTATTGTTTCAAATTTTTATGTGCAAATGTAATTTGTAATGTTACAAGTATAAAGAAATTACCAATTTGTTTATGCTATTAATTTGCAAATTTACCTAAAAGTATTACTAACTCTAACCTTAATCGTATTTCTTTTTGTACATTTTTCTTTTTATTATAACCCCTACTTTCTCCATTTCGCATTTAACCTACTAAAATTTAGAACCTCGTCATTTGGTATTTTCGTTATAAAGAAATTTCCTTTGGTGATTTCCAATATTTCCGATTGCCGTTATAAATTTCTCACGTTACACGACATCGGTAAAACTTTCACTTTGGGTGTCATAGTATATATGATGTGAATATGTCAAAAAAAATCAGTAATTCAAAACTCGGTAAAATCATCGCCGGCAAAATGATCCTGTTGGTAAAATAATTGATGAAATGATTATCGGTGAGACCCTTAGTATACATTATCGTACATTCGTACTGCTTCTCTGTAAAAAATTTTATCCGTAATTCTCCGTGAATATGATACATTTATGGAAATAACATGAAATAAAAAAAAAACGGAATAAATTTTTTATGGGACGAACTAATGATTTTGGTTCTTTTTCTTCATTGGCTCATTCAGCCATTCCCATTTTCACACCCAAACCCGCTAAAAATTAAAAAAACTTGCCTATTTGGGATGAACCCCCGGTTGGGAAAAAAAAATTTTTTATGGGACGAACTAATGATTTTGGTTCATTTTCCTCATTGGCTTATTCAGTCATTCCCATTTTCACACCCAACCCGCTAAAAATTAAAAAAACTTTGCCCGATTGGGATGAACCCGGTTGGGAAAGAAAAACTGATTATTAAAAAAATTTAATAACCGTTTTTTTTTTTAATATTTGTTATCTATTTTTTATAAGAATGAAAATGAACTGCATTAGAAATTTAAAAGTTTAAAAAATTTAAAAGTTGTAATTTGTAATTAAAAAATGATAATTATTTCTCAACAAACTAGTGTCCAATTTATAAAGAAATTTTGGAATTTTGAAATTATGGGTTGTCAAAACAAATGAATAATTATTATTTTGTCAAAAGTTTAGAGATTAGTTTCAGAAGAAACACCTTATTGTGGTTATTGTGATTATCCTAGTTATTTTTTCCAACTTAGGAATACATTGACTTGCACCACGAAAAATCTCACTCTATGCTATAGCTATGCTATCGATTTGAGAACAAATTATCATACATGAAGTTAAATGCTGATGTAATGGTACAATGATCTCTTTACATCATAATTTTTTTTTATTTTTCGACAAAAGTTCCTTCGTCACGTGACTGCGTGAAGATTCACAGTGAAATTCGATTAACGATAAATTAAAAAGTTTGGAACTGGAATTTTTCCGGATCAAATTATATATTAAGATAGATAGTTTCGATATATCAATAAAATCTCGATAATCGAACAAACGGTTTGATATATCAGAATAAATAAACGAACCTAATTATAAAGTTTTGATTTTATGCTATACATTATATGAACAGAATTTTACATGATTTAAAAAATTTTTTGCCTTATTGTTTATAATAATCAAATTTTAGGATAATCAAAAGTTAATTTTTATAGGTATAATATTTTAAATTCAATATGTAATAATTTGTAAAGAAAACATGAAAAAAGGTTTGATTTTATTACCATTGATATTCGTAGAGCGGACAAATTTGACGCTGCCATGAATAAATAACGATTTTTACGTTTAGAGTCTTAAAAGATTCTTATTATAATGTTATCATACGTAATAATCAGGTGCGAATTGGCACTTTAAAACTTTGTCAATTATGATCGCATCTTTATAAATTTATAGCACAGAATTTTATTAAATAATAAAATAATTTTTTATTAAATTAATTATAAATTACATACAATCGTTCAGATGTTAAACATAAATCGATAATTTATTATTTATATTATTATATTAAATAATTAAATTAGCTCTTCCATTTTGAAATTTCTCATATTCACACCCAACCCGCTAAAAATTAAAAAAACTTGCCCGTTTGGGATGAACCCGGTTGGGAAAGAAAAACTGATCATTAAAAAAGAATTTAACAACCGTTTTTTTTTTAATATTTGAAATTATCTATTTTTTAAAAAAATGAAAATGAATTGCATCGCAAAGCGTTAGGAATTAAAATTTAGAATTTTCGAAGTTGTAATTTGTAATTAAAAATGATAATTATTTCTCAACAAACTAGTGTCCAATTTATAAAGAAATTTTGGAATTTTGAAATTATGGGATGTCAAAACAAATCAAAAATTTAGAAATTAGTTCAGACGAAACGTGTTATTGTGGTTATTGTGATTATCCTGGTTATTTTTTCCAACTTAGGAATACATTGACTTGTGCCACGAAAAATCTCACTCTATGTTATCGTTATGCTATCGATTTGAGAACAAATTATCACACATGAAGTTAAATGCTGATGTAATGGTACAATGATCACTTTACATCATAATTTTTTTTATTTTTCGACAAAGTTCCTTCGTCACGTGACTGCGTGAAGATTATGATTAACGGAATCTCGGTTATGGAACTGAATTTTTATCAGAATTTTCTGGATTATATTAAGATAGTTTCGATAATGGAATATATTAATATATTAGTAAAATCTCGATAATCGAACAAAAGGTTTGATATATCAGAATAAATAAACGAATAAATAAACGAACCTAAGTAATTATAAAGTTTTGATTTTATGCTATACATTATATGAACAGAATTCACATGATTTAAAATTTTAGGATCATAACCAAAAGTTAATTTTTATAGGTATAATATTTAAGTTCAATATGTAATAATTTGTAAAGAAAACATGAAAAAAGGTTTAATTTTATTACCATTGATATTTGTAGAGCGGATAAATTTGATGCTGCCATGTATAAATAACGATTTTTACGTTTAGAGTCTTAAAAGATTCTTATTATAATGTTATCATACGTTATAATCAGGTGCGAATTGGCACTTTAAAACTTTGTCAATTATGATCGCATCTTTATAAATTTATAGCACAGAATTTTATTCAATAATAAAATAATTTTTTATTAAATTAATTATAAATTATATCAAAAAAAAGCTTAACCGGTTAATAACCGTACAATCGTTCAGATGTTAAACAGAAGTCGATAATTTACTATTTATATTCATATATTAAATAATTAAATTAGAACAAAATAGCTCTTCCATTTGGAAATTTCTCTTATTCACACCCAACCCGCTAAAAATTAAAAAAACTTGCCCGATTGGGATGAACCCGGTTGGGAAAGAAAAACTGATCATTAAAAAAATTTAATAACCGTTTTTTTTTTAATATTTGTTATTTATTTTTTATTAGAATGAAAATGAACTGCATTAGAAATTTAAAAGTTTAAATAATTTAGAAGTTGTAATTTGTAATTAAAAAATGGTAATTATTTCTCAACAAACTAGTGTCCAATTTATAAAGAAATTTTGGAATTTTGAAATTATGGGTTGTCAAAACAAATGAATAATTATTATTTTGTCAAAAGTTTAGAGATTAGTTCA